TGATCTAATCCATTCCTCGTATTCTTTCCTCCGTGTAACAATCAAGATTTCGAGAGGAAAACGAACTGAGTTGCCACCGCCTCAAATGTTGTATACCTTTGCCGGCTTCTTGCATTCTCTATTAACTCCATATTGCTATTGTTGCGATTCTTGGGATGAAACAGTGGGATGAAAGACGCGTTTGCTATGGTCAAGGTCTCCCAAGCTTTAAACGAGAATCTCTTTTCCAATCAAGAAAAGGGAAGAAAAGTCTCACTACAATAGCTCTTTATAGAATCATCATCAAAACTTGTTACACATTGAATCACAGAAGCATCTGAAGGTCTGAGAAGAATGATCCGTGGTTGATGTAAAAGGGACTTGCACATTGCTGCTTCTATTCTAAGAAGGGTTCTATAGAACTTAAATACATACTAGAAGTTATTGACGACTAGTTTGTTTTGGTTGCGCGTTGTTTAGAAAATTTCGCCAAGGTCCACGTGGCCAGATATAGCAGAGACTAAACCCATGTTTTCATATATATTGAAGGTAATGTTCTCCTGATCACCTAAGGAAAAACTTCTGTTAACACGATGCACGACGTGAAAACTTTACGCCATAAATTCCACTCCCGGATTCTATCCGGGCGATAGCGCATGCAGGGCAAGTACCTTAATCACTCGACTACTGAGGAATTGCTCGAAATCAACTGAAATCTTTGGTATCATTTCACCATGTTTTTAAAGAACGAGGAAAACACTTGTGTGGGATCTATAGCCATATAACTTAAAGTTCCGTTGTCGGAACAACAACCACAGCGGAAATTGTAATCGTTGAAATATGGCAGTCCATTGCGTGTCGGAAAGAAAGTGCAACGTCTCTTTTCCCGCCGGCAAAACAATGCAAGTAGACTGACTTTGTTGCTCCAGTTTGAGTGAGATGCTCTGGAAACTATAAAAATGCGCACAATGCAAATTATAAAAATACTCAAGTCGTCATTTAAAATATAGTACTATTAATAACAGTATAAGTTAGAATACATGGAATGAAGAGCGACGCACCGCTGCGTAAAAAGTGTCTATAGTAGCTTAGTTAAAATTATAACATTAAAAAGGCTTGTTACTGAACCAGTCAATGACTGAGAAGGAAAAGCAGGTTTAGTGTCAAGACAATTAACGCATTTACTGTAACTATAATTTGGCTAGAAGCCCCACTGTAATAGCAAAAAATCTACAGACTATATTAATATTACTGTAATTGTTCACTAACAAGAAGAAATTATTTGCAGTGAAAAAGACTAAATCTAGGCAAGTCTACACTTCGTAAAAGGTTTAAAGAAATTTTCCTATAAGAATTTCAATAGGAATTTCTAATTTCTTTAGGAATCTGATTCTCTACAGGTGTAGAATTTCCTATAAGAATTCTTTTAGGAATTCCTACAGGAAATTGCATTTCCTAAAACTAAGGCTAATGCTAGCTACCTAAAATTATGGTTTGAAATTGTTCCAAACATAATATCAAATAAGACAAATTTAAGCAACTGACATAATTTATCAATTCAATAAACCAGATGATAATCTCATGTACCGTAGTGGCTTCTAGCAAGCCTACCTAATTAATCATGCAGGTGGGCATAATTCTGGAAATGCCATTAAGATAGAAGATAAAGTATGATTAGTTGCAACTAACCTTTCAATCAGTCTGTCTTGTACACCAGAAGGAATCTGTAGCATGAGTTGTGTTGCTAACAATGGTGGTGTTTGTAAGAAATGTTCTAAAACAAGAAATACTCTGTATTGATCAGCTATATCACTTGTAATGATATCAGGTGTAGCTCCAACATGTTGAAGATATCCACATTTCATCTGGTGTTCTGCAGCGTCTTGCTCTAGCAACAAGGAAGAAAATTCATTTGTTCAATGACGGCATTACACAACTTCAACTACCTATTAATAAGGATCTTTTCTGTACCGCACATATGGGGCATATGAAACATTCCATGCAAGCTGAAGGATAATGATTAATGGCAGATACACAGATCTTGAAACATTGGGGATGTCAATTTAGGTTGTCAATACCATATATTCCCACTACAGGCCATCCCTTAGGAAAAAAGGCTCCAGGCATGGAGGGAGGAATCAGAATTGGAAGGAATCAGAATTGTTGGGCTTCAAATTCAGTTTCTTCACATGTGCTATGCTGAGGAGTGTTGCATTTGAAGGGTTTCTGGTTGCATTTTGCATTCACAAATTGTTGGTTCTGTAATTTTTAGTAAAAACACATCTTCTGTAGTGTACTTTGTCTTCACTTACACAGGATGGTGGCCTGCAGCCCAGTGGCGTAACGGAGGAAGAGGGGGCCCTTAGGCATATTTGGTGTGGGGGCCCCTGTTGACTGTTGTCATTGTTTGACTGAGATATTATATTTATATTGAATATTTACAGAATGTTCTGGAAAATTCCGTGTCTATAACAATAACAATAACAGTCTCCAACACATGTAACAACCAATAAGAATAACTTTTGTTTTATTTGAGATGGAATAAAAAATCAGCTATCGTTGTCGATGGAGGCTTTATTATTTTATTAGCATTGTTAATTTTTCATTTTCTTCACCTAGCTGCATCTTTTACGTTTTCTAATTTTCTGGGCGATGTGCTGTGGCTGATGGGGGCCACTAACTGTCAGGGGTCCTTAGTTTTTTAACTAACCCGAACCAATGAGCACTACGCCACTGCTGCAGCCCAAGTCTGCCAGTCTGGTAGTGCTGTGCAAACTCCGGGTTTTTCCCCTCAGGCCAAAAAACCAACTCCGACAGAACATTTCCAGCCCGGCAAATTCGTGAAAATTCAAATTTAATGGAAATTTCACATTTCAAAGTGGAAGCACTATCTTTGTTGTTTATTTTAACACTTCGCATGAACATTTCATACAATGTTTGTGGCAAGCCTGCACAGTATCAATCGAGTATTTACTTTTTCATCGATAGATTCAGGTTTTTTCGCCGATGTCCGACATTATTATGCAGCACAAATAAGTGCTGCCGGAGTTGAACAAACTTCGGCTCCAGCTCTGGTGAAATAGGCCAAAACTCTGGGACCGGCTCCGGCGCACAGCACTACCCAGTCAGTAGTGTTTAGTCGGGTAGATATAATAAATCAGGCAATTCACTAAGCCTGTTTGATTGCCTTGCTATATTTATTTTGTCTATGCATCTTAAAGAATAAACTCCTAAAATACCAGTACTCATAAATCTACATTTTGTACGTATTTATGGTTTCAAGATAATAATTTTAAAATAATACTAATAAAAGGAGAAACTGTCAATTATTTTTGTAAAGCTTCATCTGAAAACCGGGCCAATTTTATTTCCACCGGGACAAACGAGTCGAAACCGGGATTGTCCTGGTGAAACCGGGACAGTTGGAATGTTTGCAGCACCATTACCATACCTTGTAGCAGCTGGTAAAATCCAGTGAAACTGGTGGAGCACATTATGCACAATGCACAGATTGTAAACTTATATTTCTGTCTAGGTCGAGCCCAAACATTACTTCATTGTCATGCATGTGAGCTGGAAACTATTTGTTGATACTTTCAAAGCCCCCCCCCCCCCCAGACTGGAATCTTTGCTGTGCGCGGGGAAGTTCTTCTCTGCGCAATTTTGATGCTTCCTATATAGTGAATAGGGGTATACAAATCCGCCCAAATTTGAAGCAAAATCTGTGATCCGACAATGGTCTTGTCTAAATTTGAATCCACTATTAAGCTCTACTATAGCCTGCGAACAGGCTCTCAAGCTGAATTGAGAGCCTGCATCGATGACTAATGAATTTGAATATCTGCCCCGTAACGTTCGTTTTTCCAAATATGGAATGTCTATCCTTATATGGTGTTGTTTACAACTTTCGTGCAAACTAAATTTAGACCATGCAAACTAAATTTAGACCGTACAGTTTATACTGTTTTTCGAAATATAAGATATTCAAGCAAAAGTTTAAATGTTTTAAATACTGTTTTCTCAAAACAGAACATTTCGTGCTTTGAGATAAGATGGCCAAGACCAATTTGATCAGTTAATGTGTTTTTTATGCATAGTTCAGCAGTTGACATATATAGAGCTCAGCCAAAACATATAAATTATAGCATCTGACCAATGAGAATTTCGCGTCACGATTTGAGACGCAGATATTCAAATTCATTAGTCATCGATGCAGGCTCTCAATTCAGCTTGAGAGCCTGTTCGCAGGCTAGCTCTACTATGAAGTCACAATCCAGGATCCGAACTAAATTGCAAGCTATAAAATCCACAATCCGAGCCAAAATATTAGATAAATCTGCAATCCACTGTATTAATAATGCACCTATCAATGTTAAGCCCCAGAGGGGAGAGGTCGGGCATAGGTGGGGCATTTGATTTTTGGAGCAAATTTTCAATCGAATGCCCCACCGTCAGGCAATAAATATTGGTCAAATGCCCCACCATTTTGCAATAAATTGCAATAAATACTATATTAATAAAAGTGATCCGGTTCAAATTGCCCCGACCCCTCCCCCCCTCCCCCTCCTCTGGGGGTTAACATCGAAAACAAATTTCACCCCCCATATATTTACTATTAAATTTTCGAAATCTTCCCCGCGCAATTTCCAAACTTTCCAGTCAGGCCACCGGCCACCTCCCCCCCCCAACTTGTTTCGTACATGCACCATGGTGATTTAAAAAAAAAACAAAGCAAATATTGACATAACCAACCCGTAAATCCTTTGAGCCAAAGATCATAAACTTCAAGATCCAACGTTGTCGGATCTGTCACGAAAACATCCACTTCTTCCATTTAAAATACTCTATAATATAGGCCACACAGACGGTCACCCAGGCATGATTTACCAAAATGCATATTTTCATGAGCCCGCAGTTTCGTTGCCTTTTCGCTCATACTTCATGTTTTTTAGAATCAGAATTGTTGGGCTCCTCCAGTCTCCTCACATCAACCACATGTGCTGGCCGAGGAGTGAAATTGAGGAGTGTTACATTCGAAGAGTTTCTGGTTGTATTTCGCATTCACAAATTGTTGGTTCTGTAATTTTTAGTGCAAAACACATCTTCTGTGGTGTATTTTGTCTGCAGTTTATAGACAGGGATTGAAGAATCTAACAGCGTTCCTGCCTGTGAATACGTTTTGACAACATGAGCTGGTCGCATGGTTCAACGCAAGCCGAAGCTGGGTGAGTACCAGATTTTATATCGAGTATTTTACGGTCCAATTCCATGTCTTATTTATATAAGTATATAGAAAATGTAAGAGGTATTACCCCATGTTACTGTGAAGTAATATCACCACATGTCGTAAATTGTGGCGATTTAACAATGATAGATAAACAAATTTTGTGATATTGTAGCTGGAATGTAAAAATTATATTGCGGTGACCCCACGTGTTGTCGCACAAGTGCGGCAAATTTGCCATAAACAAAAGTCCGTTGTTTTTGCAAAAATGATAGAAATATCAATATGTATATAAACATGTTAAAGAGAGCATTCATTTAAGACAGAAGGGGGCAATGTTGAAACAATAGTGTTTCGAGATTTCTTAAGACAAGTTCTGGGGTTTGCCTGAAAATAGATAACAATTTGTAATATGCAGATACAGATATATAATTCTGTTTTCTGATTGGATGCTGTGACATAAATTATATCTGTATCAAATCGGCTTGTCAGGACTTCTGTGCTTGTGGCTCTCAGAAGCCATGACGTAATCAATCATAGACAGTATCTTTCATTGGTCAATTATGCGAACACAATGAACTATTAACCTGGTAATATTTTGTCAACTGAAGATGGTAGCCATCATGCTTACAGTACTGCTAAGAAATAACCTAACCCTGTGTGTGTCCTGCCAGTGTCCTGCCTCCAGAGCACCTAGCTGTGTCTGGCTTCCATGATGCTTGAGTCTGCTCTGCCTGTGTCTTGAGTCTGCTCTGGCCTCCATGACGCCCTCGTCTTGTGTCTGCTCTGCCTACATCCTGCCTCCAGAGCGTCCGCGTCCGGCCTCCAGCTAAAAACTGTGTCCGCTTGAACGCAGTCATTGAAACATGATCGAAAAAACGAACTAATATTTGCATCATACTCGTAGTTTGTCGTGAGAATACAGATCAGTGTAACTGATCGGAGAAGCAAAGAATAAAAAGTTCAATCTGAAAATGAGTTTTATCGAACCTAAGCATTACATTTTGTATAACCATTTTATAATGTTGTCGAAATCATGTTCGTACATGTAGTTCATCGTGTAGTTCGTACATGTAGTTCATTTTAGCTTGTCAATAAAACTATTGTAACATCTTCAGAAAGAATCGATTCTCATCCACTTTCGTTGTGCATCATCCATACGTTCGACGATCTATGAAGAGACAGGTTTTGGTAAAACGGCCCCAAAAACTCAACGGGTCATTCCAGAAAACATCCATACCACCCCCACAGAGGCAAGGGCGGATTTTCATATTTTTCTCTGGGGGGTGCAAAAATTTCAGGGGGGG